GGGGAGGAATGGAGTGAAGGGAGGAGGGGAAGAGAGTAGCAAGGGGAGAGAGAGGAGGAAATGTACAGAAAGAGGGAAGGAGGGAGGGGGAGAGAAAGGGAGAGAGGTACCTCCCTTAAGTCCATACTATCAGAGAACCACTCAGGGTCCTCCTAACTGCTCTGGTTCACAGTGTTCTATCTTGTCCACAAGATAGAGTATCATAAAACATGTCATAGAAATTCTTGTCAAAATACAAACACATAAGTGATCATATTTTAAGAACTGATGCTATAAGCTGGAATCTGTCACCTCTAGAATCCTGACACCTCTCCCATATCCAAGATTCCTCAGTTTACTTATAAACTATAATCTAAAACTTGTAAGTTCCCATGTCTAGTTTAAGCCCTATTCTTTTTTCTTTCCTTTTTTTAAAAGGAGGTGTATGTAATATCAAAATATTGAGGTATATTTTACATCTCATAAAATTTGCCAATTTCAGGTGTACAATTCAATGAATTTTAGTAACCTAAGTGATACGACCATCACCAAAAACCAGTTTTAAGACATGTTTATCCCCCCATAAGAGCCCCCATTCCATCTGAAGTAGAATCTCTACCCCCCCACCCCAAGCCTTAGGCAACCACTAATCTACTTGCTTTCTCTGTAAATTTGCCTTTTCAGGACATATCACACACATGGAATTGCACGATATGTGGTTTGTGTCTAGCTGCCTTCACTTAGCCTAACGTTTTTGAGGTTCACCCATGACATAACATATGTCAGTAGCTCCTTCCTTCTGAGCCCCATTCTTCAGCGTGAAGGTGGTCTTAGGTACCAGCAAAGCCAATCCCATATCAGGCCGTACCATATCTGATATTGAGAGTTAGGAACTCTTCAATACTGTGAACTTCTTTATATGTGCTCACATTTAGCCTCACTGATGGTTCTAGGTCCCAGCTATCTTGATAAAAATTGGCTGTTGGCTTGACAGCCATGCAGAGCCCGAAGACAGGACATCTGGGTATGAACTGGGCTCTGAGTCTGGGGGAGTGTGCAGGGCTGGGGTGGGGAGGACAAGTGAGAGAACCACTGTCCTGGTGACAGGTGGAATCTAACTCCAAGCAGCCTAACAGTCCCTTAAAGTAGGCAAACAGAAAGACCTGGACCTTCCAGGTCCAATGCTACGTGATGGGGAAAAACTGGTCCAAAAAAGAGGGTGTTAAGTGGAGACTGGAGGTGACCCTTGGGCTGAAAAGGATCTCTGTGCACATGAGGGAGTCATTATGGGAGCGGAGCCAGTCTGGACCTCCTGCATCATTCTACACAAACTAATTCTGCTCATATCAGAGTTAAGAACAGGAGCAGGAGCAGTAGAAGTAGGCGAACTCAACATTTCCACCACCTTTGCAGTTAGAGTAGGTCATCAATATGGTGGCCACTAAAGAATGTCACGAAACAGAAGGAGTAGCAGGAATTAGGAAAAGATCACTAGAAAAGCCAGAGTCTTGTCTTCCTCTGGCACTTAGCGGCAACGGGCCTTTAGGCAACTCATCCAACCTCCACTGACACTCAAATCCCTTATCTCTAAAACGGAGATGATAATATTTGCCTAGACTGCTGCACAGGATAAGAGATTATGAGGATAAAAGATATGCTCATGAAGGCACCTTCTAAATTGTAAAAGCACGTGCACACAGTGTCATTCATATGATTATGGGATTTTAGAGCTTTAAGGGGTATGCAAGGTCACTAGGGCTAGTAATTTCCAAACTGTGTCTTGTGAAGATTTGAGATTTTTACAAAGGTGCCTCGAAGAATGAGGCAGAGGCAGAAATGGAAGCCAAGCATGCCCAGCTCTAGACACCCCTCCCTTCTCCCTTACTGCCCATCCCTTCCCACGAGGCCCCTCCCAAACAGAGCCCATCTGGAGGTTCACACAGAGATGGCCTTTAAGGAAAGGGTTTTGCAGCTAACAGAAATGTTCAAATCCCTTTGTAGACTAAGCTCTTTGTGATAGAGATGAAGAGACAAGATCCAATCTTGCTCAGGGTGAAGCAATAATATTTCATAATTGGGTGGGTGCCACTGCCAAGCCATCCTGGGGCTTCCAACACAGCAGACAGAGAAGACCTGAGGAGCCGCACTTTTTAGGCCAACTTCCTTCAATACCCTTTGATGGCTCTTACATTTTTCTAAGG